AACAGCTGTTCAAAATTAGAAATGGGTCACCCCGGCCAGGATGACATTACAGGCAATCTATAATGCATTAGAATAAAATTATAGTGATTTTTAACTGTCTGAAAATTTATTACACTGCATGTTACAACTCTTAAACTCTTGTTAGCCAATGTCACTAGTGATTTATGGTGCTTGGCTGGTATGGTAAAATTACTGAAGATTTAAATAGACAATCATTCTGTGTTTAGTAAATCTTCAAATTTCAAAGCTATTTTGGAGAATGAGGTGGGTGCTCTTTATTGTTTATGACTTACCAGTTAGTGACAACAAGAAGAGAGAATGGATAAATCAAAAAGCCCTCTTGTAAATTAATGGATTTATTGTCTTGTTGCCTTCAGTTAATAATTTAAAGAAAAATCCAATAACTTCTGTAGGCAAAAATGGATGTCTAAAGCACTTCAAAACAAAACTCCTATATTGCAAAGGTTGCTGTTAGAGCCTTCAACAGGAATGGTCCTTTACATGTAATTTGTTGGGCATCTTTTATGAATGGAATTGGGGTTTAGGAGGCCTTCACACACCAAGTTCCTGTGTTTACACTGTGAAACATTTACATGATAGCTCTTTTAACCACATACTTTGATTAAAGACACATTTTTTTTCTTAGTGGCTACTTTATATTCCTCTTTTATAACAAAAGAGTCTGAGTCTTCTGTGATCATAGAATTCTGTGACTGTCTTCACAAGGGAGGATGTTTAACCATTTCAGTAAATATTTCTGATTTTTCTGAAAAATATCAATGGAAAATACTTAATGAATAAAAATTTAACAATTAGTTTGTTACTCTGTTTGCATACACATAGAAAATTATATTTTAAATGAGAGTGAGTTGTTATTTGATTTTATAATTTGTACAACTTTCAAGAACAAGCACATCTAAGAGTATTATTTAAGCTCTTAGGCAGCTGACACCAACAAAAAACAAGCATTTAACACAAAATTATATGAAGTATGGAGGATACATCCTATTCAGAGATTTTCATCGATATTTTATTGCATCATATAAAGGACTGGAAAAATATTTGATTACTGTTATTGCTCTGAAAAACAAATGTATGCATGGACATACAGACAAGTGTCTTTATGGGTAAAGAACAGTCCTTATAAAGTGCTTTCCTTCTTTCATCCTGGCCCTTGCTTTGCTTCAGTTCCTCTACTCACTGGAGAATGATTTCCTGAGGTTTCCCTGATTGAAGTGAATAAATTGTGAAACTAGTTTATCTGAAGTATTTCAAACAAGACAAACAAAGAAGAGATGTTATGGCAGTCTATTCAAATTTTACATCTAGAATTTTATCAGTTTGAAGATGACTCTAATGGATGATCAATTTTTACCTTCCTTTCCATGCTGAAGCTATTTGAACATGCATTCATGCATACATTCATTTCTTTGCTGGGAATTGCATACACAGAACAATCAAAGGTTAATGTGCCAAATACTGCTAGTTTGGGTTTTATGTCATGGCACACATCCCAGGTGAAAAAGAGATGATTCATGTCTTAAACATTAACTTTCTTTAAAGAAGATGCATTCATTTTTCTAAAATCCTTTAGCCACCATTTTGACATTTTATGGCAGGTTGTCTTTATAACATAACTGGAATAAAATGACAGCTTTCCACATAGCTACTTATAAGAAATCATCAATATTTGAGACCATTCCTGACTATTCATACAAAATATTCCAGGGTAAGTGTGGTTAAGATAACCTCTCCAGAGTGCACAAGGGAAATTGGGTTTCTCTGTAGGAAAAAAAATATATGAAGAACTTTGATACTATCATTGCAACTGGAAGGAACCTTCTGAGATAATCCACTCCCACTGCCCAACCTGGTTGTCCAGCACCATGGAAATTCTACAACCTCTCTGGGTGACCTGTGTGTTTGGCCACCCTCATCTTTCCTCCTGTTATAATTTCAAATCATTGCAGCCTTAACTGAGTAAAACATCTGGAGCTATTAGGTAAAAGAAGGCAGATAAATAAGAGTAAAAAATCCTGCAAGTCTTCATAGAATGATTTGGGTTTGAAGGGATCCTAAAGATTATCTGTTACATCCCCCCTGCAGGGACACCAACTCTACTGCCTTGGTCCTTCCCTTGGAAAAAAAGTATGAGAAAAAAAGGTAGAATTTACATCTTTATTGAGGTCAAAACATCTTTTTCTTTTTTTTTCTTTCACCTTTTCTGAATGTTGCTGGAAATCCTTGCACTGGCAGTAGTATACCAGATGCTGCCTATATTGCAGTGTGCCCACCATGCTGTATCTGATCTAGACAAAACTGATTACTGAAAAAAGTCTGTAGATAGAATGTTTGATGAAGAGTTCTATCCTATTGTTTTCAGCTTCAAAAGTTTCAAATCACCACGAGAAAGTATGTATTGCTTCCAGCATTTGCAATCTTTGGAAGTGTATCTCTTGCTGACAGAGTACTTCTCCTGCTGTATTTTGTGTGCTTCAACTTTTTAATGTGGAGATTAACATTAAACATTCTGTCACTTCCATGTTGCTCAGGAGATAATGTTTTGCAATTTTGCTTTGAAGTCTGAAAAACATGTATTTGAGTTAGTCCGTTGGAAACCTCAAAGCAAAAAAGAAAACTTTATGTCGTGGTATCTTACTTACTAGCAGCACTTGTGTTTTTATTTTGGACCCTTCTCAAAAGAGTAACTGATGGGGCATTTCTGTATTCCTTTTCTAAAGGCAGAAAAAAGTAAAATTTACTGGACAAAATGGGAGTCTCAGGAGCCTGCTTTGTTAAAGTTGCTATCTTTCAAAAATTTGAAGTACAGATCTGGTATTTGTTTTCAGTATATGTATATATGCACATATATGTATATATATGCACTAATATATATATGTGTGTATATATATATATGTATGTGTATATATATATATATATGCATGCACACACACATACTTTCTTTAGATTACAAGTATATTCTGAGTGGCATGAGAGAGAGAGAGGTTCTCTTGGGCAAAAAAAAAAAATCCCTTCCCTTTCCAATTCTCAATGCTGAAGTCTGCTCTTTATGACAGCTTTGTAACAGTGAAAGTTATAAGAAGTGATAGACCTGTACAGAGAGACCTATCCTGCTTAGCTTTTCAGGTCTAGAAAGAGCATGTAGTTATGATAATTCCCATTTTTCTGTACAAGGAGAAACTGATAGTACTCAGTAAATGCATGGATGTTCTAATCCTTAGGGTTGTCTTTGCAAAGCTTTCTTTCTCCTTACTTGTGAAGCCTTGGACTATTCCTTTCTTCCTTGCTGCTGCAAATGCTCATCACCTCTTCCTACTTGTTTCCTATATTCACTGTGTTGCCTATATTTCCATACTGTTTCTTAATAGTCATGTATAGAAGGAACACCAAGTTGTTCTATACCATAAAGTATCAGCTTTGTGCAGATACAGTGACAATAGAGGTATCTATATGTTAAAATATTTTCCTTGCATTGTGTGAAAATTAATATTAGGAACCCTGATAACACCCCAGTGCTAGTGTTTTTCACAAGGAAGTATTTCAGCTCATAGAAATGATTGTATTACTTGCCTTACAGTCCAGAGATAAAACAAATCATGTTTTCAGTCTTTTGATATATTTAGATGAATGTATTACACATGGAAGATAGATATGTTGCATGCTTGCAGAGGGCAGTGTGTGCCTGTTGGGACTTTTGTTCCTGTATTTTCAGCAAATTCATCAAAAGTTAGGTTTATTTTGGGTTCAGGGAATAGAATCAAGGGTTAGACAATTTAAGGTGGTATGCATTTTGTAATAATATGACATTGTGCCACAGAAACTGCACTAGAGGTGTGGTGCCATTCTTATTACTAATAATCATGCAGTTTTGGCTCAAATTAAATATATGTAATGCTTTTAATTTAAATGACCACCCATATACATGGGTTATTTTGTTTCAGTGTGTACTTTTAAAAGATGCTCCAGTCTAGTCTGGAGCTCTAGTCTGAGGACTAGACATGTCCAGGGAGGAGGAAAATTTTGATGGAAGAGTTTTTAAGACACTTCTGAATGGGAGAGAAGATTATTCAGGCTTAATACTGATGATGTTTTCCTTTATTTATAGGTTTTGAATTCAATCCAAAACCCACAAATAAGGAAGTCTGGGATAACACCATGAAGGAATTGGTGGGGGTTTGCCCTTTGCTTCAGCAAGTAAAAGATCAATTCCAGGCATCTGGTATAGAGCTTCTGTTATGCTTCCACGAGCCACTTTTGTTTTTTCCAACTTAGTTATTCACTCTCTCTTACTCTGCATTAGGCACTTCCCTTCCCACCCATACCTGTTCGGTAAGCACTGATTTCAGATGGTCCATTTCTTTTTGATTTCATCTCCTTGTAAATGCCTGTGACAGTCTAGCATCCAACAAGCATCACTGTCTGATGGCTGCTCTATCACAGCTTCCTTCTTAGTGAACAGGCGCTCACACAAGAGCATTGCTGTACCTGGCACCCCACAGGGAGCTCCAGGGCTGCCTCTGCCCTCAGAGATCATCCCATTCTCTGGCTTTTGAGCATAGCTGAACTATATTAATAAGATGCCTTGGGAATCCTGTTTTTATAATTTTTGTGTGGATAAATACTGATTTATGTTCCAGAAATAGCTACTTGAGAGCATACATAAGTATTGAATTTACACTATCAAGATACACTGAAATTTATAATATACAGTGGTTTTTTAATATTATTGAACTATAAATATTTTTATGAAGTGAATATCTTAAGAGAAAACACGGTTTTTTGAATCTGTGATAAATATGATAAACTGCTTCTCATCACATTTCCTAGAATATTCTTTTGCATTTGAAACTCCACAGGGATCCTCCTTACTTTTCTGCCTTACTTTAATTATATCAACCCAATTTTCTTGTGCATTGCACTGAGTCATGTCTTGCTACTTGGTAACCTTGCTGGATGATTATATTCCACTCTGATTCAAGAAGGTTCCTTTTCCTGTGATGGAGGGCCTGGACCCAATTGCCACAGTGACGGATGATGCTACGATTGCAGCATGGAGTAACGAGAGACTGCCTGGTGATAGGATGCCAACAGAAAATGCCACTTCTCTAAGAAACTGCGAGTGCTGACCCCTGATGATAGATCCCCAGCAACAGGGAATTAAATGGATAAAGAATACATGCGGAGCTGACCTTAAGTCACACGTCTAGGACAGAAAGGGTATGTGCGCGCTGAAGAATTGGTTTTCATGTTTACTGCCCTCAAGTTCCCCTAATTTTTGTAAGGGATTAGTGTTTGTTGGAATGCACTTACCTAAAGACTTGAAATATTGCAACACTCTGCTTATTTATCCATAGCATCATTTTCCATTTAAAAAGTTGCTTGAAAGGAAACTTGCTATTTGCAAGTGTTGGGGAGGATATAAAGTGGAGGTTGGAAAGAAAGTGGAGGTTGAGGTGCACTTCTTTTGAAGGGTAAATTGCTTTTTCAATCGTTAAGATGTAAAGCTGGATGATATGACCTTACTTATCCTGTACACTTTAGTTAGCAGAACACAGCATGTGCACCTCACAGAGGGAAAGATTCAACCCACTGTGCAGCATCCAAGGCAAAATATTACTGAATTATATGTAAGTTGATAGCACTAGCATGTAATTGATCTGTTCATATATTTTCTTATCTTTACTTAGATTTAGGGAGATAATGCTCCATTTCAAAGTTTATTGTACTAAATTCCAGATATAACACACAATTACACAACGCAGTAAATGTTCATAGCAATGCCTGATTTTTTAAATACATCTTAATCATCTAACCCATCTGCTTTGGATGAGCTCTTTTCCCTCACCTGCCTTGATTTGTTTTTCATTCTTTTCCAACCCATACAAATAATTGTGATTTTTTCCATTTAGACCCTGTAATACCCTGCTATGTGAAGCTGTATTGTCTGCTTACTTATCCTTACATTTTTATCTACTCCTTTTTCCATGCCTGTGGAAACAGAGTTCTCCCAAGCTATTCAGATTCTAACCCTTCGAGAAAGTATTTATTGTTTAGATGAGGATATACCAAAAGCTGTAACACAAAAACATAAAATGTAAAAATAATAACAAAAGATGAAATACATATGTGCTCCCCCAACATCTCTATGTTAATTCCAGTATCTTCAACGTGGGACTGTACCCTCATATTTACTTATAAGAAAAGCCTCAGCAATATATTTTTTGTTTAATATGAGGACTAGCAAGAGCATAGGTTGAAAAATGTTGAACTCAAGACTGTCAAACTCTCAACCACTAGGAAATTCTTTGTGAGCAGTTTTGCATGGGTTAATAATGCTCTTTTATGAAAAGTCTACATTTTTGTTATATAAATGAAATCTTTTGATAACCAGCATTTATCTAACATTTGAGGGGTTTATTTATTTATTTTTTCAGGTCAAGTTTTCTGAAGACCATTGAAAGAGCTTTGGCTTTTGATGAGACTGTACTAATTGAAAACATGGGTGAATCTATTGATCCCATACTTGATCCCCTGCTTGGAAGACATATAGTTAAAAAGGGAAGGTACATATGTTTGAGTAATCATAATTTTTCCATGACAACTGGATCTATATTGCTTTGATTGCCACATTTTGCTTACTGCTTCATAACACTTCATGAAATAAATTATTTCTTTTTAAAATGCAATGACTAAAAACTGGTGATGAGTGGATATAAAAATGTTTATATCTGCATCTGATTAGATAGCAAAATTCTCAGTTTGCAAATTGAACTCAAAATACAGTACAGACGTATGTGTTTCTCAAACTAAGGTGGAAATCTTTACTTTTTTTTACTCCAAAAAAGGGTTAAAACAAGGACGAGCAAATATTATAGTTTGGCTCAAAAGAAAAGAAAGTATTTAATTTTCTTGTTAGGCATCTGTAGCAAAAGGGAAAATATTGGAAATTACAGGCTAGATTTGGATTTAACAATATAGGGGTTTCCAGCTGCAAAATCTGCTTTAGAAAGCTGTGCCTCTGCTTTGCAGTGAATTACCATAACTGCTTTTTGGGCCACCCCATGAAATAAATCAATGAACTGGTTTAAAAAGAAAAAATAAGAAACAAAACCAAAAGCAAACAAACAAACAAAAACCCAAACCAAAACAAACGAGTAAAGCTACTGAGGAAAAACTAATATGGTAGAACGTAGGGCAGAAGGGCAGAAATGAGTAAGCCAAAGATGGCTTACGTTGGTATTGCCAATCTTCCATGCATCAAACCAGTCCAGTTGATCATGCTCACAAATCCATTGAGGCAGATGTCATGGTGGTGCTAATGTCTCCTCAGTTTTACCTAGAAACATAGGCTGTTAGCAACAAAACTCACATACCCCATTTCTCATGTGAGTGCTCCAAATACCCCAGTTCAGGGACTGTTCTGATCTCCCCCTCCCAATGAAAGGGCTACAGCTCTGCCAGCCTTGTGATCCCCACCCCAGAGGTTTGTAGGTGGCCATTCAAGTAGGAGATTCAAATTCAAAGCTGAGTTAGTTTGTTTTCTCTGGTCTGACATTGCAGCGGCAGGAGTGGTAGATGGTACAAGGGAGGGTAACCTTGTGTTCTGACCCTTTTGGAGTGTCTGTAATCTCATTTTTCATTCACATGCCCCTTTTTTGCCCTAGATTTTGAAAAATTATTGTCAAACTTAGAAAATGTCATCAAAAATATTTCCTAAGATCTAATTTAGATACCTTTAGATACACATTTTCAGGATGATAATAGGAAAAATAAAGAAGCTTGTACTCGGTGAAAGAGAATTTCAGTCTGTAATGTCTTCCATCACTTTTCACAGAAACTTCCAATGTGATTTTTGAGTCTTCTATGCAGCTGTCAACCTAAATAATAATGTTGCTTTGTGGTTGCATGAGAGTACACTTGGTAACCTCATCAAATGTTTCATCTGATGAACTGAAATGCTATGCTATTGTTTATGTTCAAATATGAATTTATTTTTTTCTGAAAGATTCTTATAGTCTTGTTTGCAAACAACACATCAACAAGCTAGATTTTTTGTGTTGAAAAATGTGGTGTTTATTCTAATATAAAGTCAAAGATACTCCTGAAGCATTTCTGAATGGGTCTCAAATGCTACTCAAAGTCTTTAGAGTGCTTGCACAGTTTCAGATTGTCAAAAGAGAAAATATGTAAAAAAGGATAAATAAAAATAGTATCTAGTTTTGGACAAATTGCCCAAGCTTTCTTTCCCTTCTTTCTCCCATATTTCATGCATTGGTGACTGCAGAGAAAATCTAGTTCAAATCTCCTTGCATACATGAAACTCCTGGAAGATGCACTCTTGCTCTGCACTGTGAGACCTTGAAATGATCCCTCTTTGTTACATTTTTCTATAGTGGTATTTGAAATATTTCAGAGTAAGACCATACAGGTTGCTTTATAATCCATAGTGAAGAAACTCTACCAGAAATTAGGATTATACTGATCAAAAAGAGAGATCAGAAATTCCACAGGCTAAAAGATTTTTAAGGCAAGAGAGAGGGAATAGAAATAGAAATAAATTGGATTGAAAAGGACAAGGGTCACAGCAATATAGTTTTGCCTTAGCAAAGGCTTCCATGTAGCACAAGAGAGCTGTGCACATAGATACAAATGCAAATATATGAAGCTATTAAAAATAGGTCCTTCTGCTGAATATTTTAGGCAGCATTACATGACCTAGCATTCTGTGCCTCACTGAAGATGCACAGGTCTCCTTTGTGGGATACTAGTAATATATATACCCCTTTATTACCAAATACGCAGAGTTTTCCTCATTCTGGATTCATTTCTGTCATTTGTTTGTTTTAGTAGTTGTGTCAGGTACTTTGAATTTTTTTTCCTAATAAAGAAAGACTAGAAAGGTATTTGTGATAGATATGGTGCAGTCCAGCAGTTGAAGTTCATTAATAATTGGAATGTTGCAGAGTATGAAGTAATGAATACTAATTACTCCTTTCATGTCTGACAGCACCCCATGGACCAATACATCAGCCCAGACTTTAATTTGGTTCTAGTAATGGTTTCATCAATAGTACATTAATTCTGTGTTTGAAAAGATGTACAGTTGAACCTGACCCACACAGTAGATACCACTGTCATAAAATGGCCACATACTGACAACAACTGGATAATTGCAAATAATTAAATCCACCGAGCTTCAGACAATCCTAATTTTAAGTAAAATATATCTTATCATATTAATCGACAGAAAGCATAGCAAAGGAGATTTATCAACTTGTACTCCTTCCAAAGCACATTTACTAGCCTTCTTATTAGAGAACTTGCTGATCTGTGAAGCAGCTTCATGAAAGTACTTTTCCCCTTTCTTGTTTACCAAGATGGTTCTTATGTTGGACTCTTGGATATTCTGTAACACCAGCTCCTGGTATTGTTTCTGAATGAAGCCTGCAAAAGAAATTCTCAGCCTTTAAGAACTTCACGTGGATATAATTTATATTTTCCTCAAAACCATGTGACTGCAGGGTGAACTGCAGGTACTCGTTATCTCTGAAAAACAGACTTCATGCTTAAGCACCTTAGTATATATTTAAAAGCCTAACAAGTTAAAGGTATTCAAATTTGGATACATTTTTAATTTTAATTTTGGAGCTGCAAAGATGCTCCGTTGTTCTTACTGTGATGCCTATGGATTTTTTGGATTTTTAGCTTTTTGTAGATTTTAGAAGTAGTTGTGTAGTAAATGTAGATTTTAATGTAGCTGTATAATCCCTTACACTTTAGCACAGGAGTTTCCACTTACCCAAACCCTTTTCCCCATTTCATATTGAACTTTCTAAATTCCTTTAGCTTGTTTAGACTTCCCTGAAGGTAGGCCTTCATTCTGTTGAAGAACATTTGCACCCTGACTTGAACAACAAGATACACCAACAGACAAAGCAACCTTCAAAACACGGAACCTTGGACGGGCTCCAAGGACTGGACGTGCTGTGACAAAGAGGAAGATGAGGAAGGGGGAGTCTTAGAGGCCCCTGACTCAATTTCCAGAGGAGCATGCCGGGGGCAGAACTGGGGGTGAATAGATCTGGGATTGGATGGACTGTACCCTAAATTGTGGAGCCCCCCAGACACATGGCGTGCACGTGCATCTGTACCCCCGTGGTTTGAAGGCCTTCTGTTAAAACTGCTCTCTACCTTATCTCTGCTGGTGCCTGGTGAGTAATTTTTTGGCTCCCAAGCGATTATTTAAGGCAACAATGCACTTTAGACTGTGGCCTTATGTTCAAAATGGCTTTAAAATGATAAGATTTTTTGCTAAAATATTTCAGGATATTTGCTTTAAGAAGCAGGAAAAAATAAAATAATTAAAAAAAAAATCAGTTGTAATACATAGCTGTATATAAGCATGAAGGACACAAGAAAAAAGTAAGTAAAATTTGGGTCCAATGTATTAGCAATGTATGCAGCAATGATTCAAAATGCAAATGCTGAGATTTTTTGAAGCAGATAAGTTAAGGCATAAAAGTAATCAGGTACCAATTCTACAATGGTGTATGATTTTGGCCCTCACCTCCTATAAGAGGAATGATGCCATTAAATTGGTTTGGTCTGGATGGCCTTTATTATTTGAATTTTACCTATGTGTTTCCTATCCTGTCTCCGCAGCACCACTGTTTTGGAGATCACTGAATATGAGTATTAATTATAATAGATCAATGTCATTTTGACTCATAGGAGAGAAGACAGAGGAATAAATTTATTGTTCATAAGTCTCCTTTTTGCTGTAGCATGAGCTGTTACACCTGCTCAGATCCTTTGCACAGTCACAAAGAGGTAGTCATGTCTCTTCAGTTGCAAGATTAGGTTATTACAAAATTCTTTAAGATGTCTTGAAATTTGATTTATGTGCAAATGTAGCTTGTATGAACAAGTTTCCCTTCTTATGTGGCATGACTATTATTCATGAAACAGCAAGACAATTCACTCGCTTTCTCCACAGGGAGAAGCTTTCCTTGCCTTGAACGTCTCACCGGCTGTGCAACTTCAAGGCAGTGCTTTTCCCACTGAACTAGTTTGACCAACTTGCACAGTTTGCCTGCTGAGATTGCCTAGTAAAAGCTCTGTTCTGCACTTTTTTCACCTGACTTATTCAACTTCATTCTTTAAATTACTTGTTGGAGTTTGCAAGTTGGTTCCAGAAGCTTTTAATTTTAAGCAGCAGGAACTGAAAGAAGGCTCCTTCAGAAAATGCGTTTATGCCTGTTTCTTCCCACTGAAAAATATTGTTTCCCTTTCCTTTGCTGTCCAAGAACTTACCACTTCTTTTTAATCTTACTGAGCTGATCCAAAACATCTTGCTGAAGGAAGCTATGCCACCATTCTGCCATTTACAGTCATGGCTTGTTTTGGAGAACATCTGCCCTGGAAGGTACTCTCAAGCTGTTTCATGATATGAAGTCAGGTTCTTATACTCAAAATTTTTTCACGTTCATGAGATCCTCTCTTTGAAAGACCTAGGCATTTTTACCTTAGGCAGGACATGCGGAAGGGAATAGCATGTCTTTGTGTCAATAAATCAAATTCTGACAGATCACAACAAATGTGGCACTATTCCTAGTCTTCTTATAGCTGAGAATTTAGTACTCATGTTACATTCTGGAATTTATTTGGCTTTATATTTGCTTTTGCTAAAAACAATTTATTCCTCAAGGTGTATACAGAATTTTTAAAGTGCTTTGTGAATCTCTTTTGAATCCCTTAATCTACTTTATTTCAAAATCTACAAGAAAAAAATAATGGAGAGGAATCTCTCTTTAATTTACTTTGTATGTTCTTGAATAAGAGTGAGATTGAACTCATGTGAAAGATTCTCTGTCTATTCCTGGGTAGAGTGGTACATTAATTCCATCCATTCTATCTGCCTTTCCTGATGGAATAGAAGATTATGAAGAAAACATTGCCTAAAGTAGAATTTGTTTTTAGAAATTTCTTTGGTGACCATCTTTTAATATTCCTTCTATCATGGATTTCCACTATTAGTGCCTATATTGTTACATTTCTTCATAATCCAGAATTAACCTCTAAACAGAAACATTTCATTGAATAAAATGAAGTCGTCCTACTGGGTTACCCTACCTCTGTGTTTATCATTGTTGCATATACTCCTTGAACCGTGCAAGAGCAATAACAAAATATTTCTTTTTCCCAAATCTGTAGTTAACAGAAATCCTAGAACAGCTGCAGTAATAAAACCCACTGAGTCGTTATGTAGTTTTTGCCTTTCATAGGTGATAATCGCAGAAATTAGAAATTTAGTGCTTCTGTGAATTGAGAACCCATAAAGGACGTATTTGAATCCAGAACTCCAAAGCTTAGTATAGACCTTCTGAAATGTGGTGTGACTCCCTTAGCAAAGGTTTTTCTCCTGACAAAACAAACTGAAGAACTTGTCTTTTGTCAGATCTCTTCTTGTCTCATCCCTATGTGTGTAATGAAAGCAAAGGAAAATTGCTTTCTCCATGTCAAGCTCTACTGTTTTGTTCCCTCCAGCTGTAGCCAATTTTGAAAGCTGTGGAGACCATGTTGCAGAACTGGACAGTGAATTCATGTCCACCTGACAAAGGTTGTATAATCTGAAGGACGTGACTGTATGGCTAAATTATTTCACTATTATACACACATAAACCTGAAAAACCCATCTTCAGTAGTTGGCATGGCAGTATAACGCCATACACGTCTGAATTTGAGTATTGTAGAGTCATGGGTTTCCTAGCACCAGACATATTAGGGTTGTTTTTAGGAATTCACTTGCAGTATATAATAAGTAACTATCATTTCTTCCTGATCCTTGGTGAAATGCAGAAGGATCTCAGCACACCATTTCATTTAGACTGTCTTCTGGATAAGGGCATGTCAGAAGCAGGCAAGGATGTTCAGAGCTAAAATGTATGTCCCTGACTCCAGTAATGCCTTGTGATAGACTTGAAAGAATGCAATGTTAAAATTTTTACAGAAAGTATTTATTTTATTCATGTTCTGATGTGACTTTCCTGAGTTGTGTTTAAAGTGTTTAGTATCTATACTATTGCAATCACTTTGAAAATTGAGTTACCAAATGCATGTTTGAATTTTGTGAAGAGTTTGTGGCTACCTTTGTTCCATGGTATAAAAATTCTATTGATCTTTTATTTAACAGTTTTGTTACTAATATTTGAATCTTCTTTCTTGTCAGAGAACATTCAAAGCCATTGCTGTACAGAAACACTGGTTTTGTGCTCGTGCGTGGCAGGTGAATCCTAAAAATTGACATACTGCTCACTGTGGAAGTAGATGATAAAAAGCTGTGTCAGTGGCCCACACCAGACCAGACACAGAGCACACACTGCAGTCTATAAGCAGTCTTTCAATTTTATTTTTTTTTTTTTGATACTGTGCCACAGACGTAGGAAGGTGAACTTTATGTTGCCTGACTGCTGGGCTCCAAATGGTACTTCAGCAGTAGCAGCGTTGCTGTATAGGACAGGCTGGCACCTTTCATTCAAGACGAGGAATCAGGAAATGACATCTCTTGGGTAAGGGATTTTATTCAGTGAGTAAAAAATGAGTTTAGTATAACTCATTCTTTCACCCAGCAAATAATTGATTTGGAACAAAACATTTAGTAGACTACCTTAAAAAAATTATTTTTGTTGTTTCAGTCACCAGCCATTCTGTCCCCTCTGGTCACTATCAGTTTGCTATAAATATGTATCTGCTTAGTTCCTTAGGATTTACTGCTGAGCTATTTCAGAACATGGAGAAGTGAGCTATATTTAAGGAAATTGTAGTAAAAACTAACAACTATCTCATTAGGGTTTGTTTGAAAACTTAGCTAAGTTTGTGGTAAGTAATGACAATAGACATCCCTAAGCCATGGACTCTTCAGGACAGCAGTGAATAATCTCCCTGTGTCTGCTGTATATGCAAACTAAACTATGCCAGTTAAGAAATACTCTGTGTATTCTTCATAGAATTTTGGTGTGTTCAATCATCCTCATTTCGTTTCTTAAGTTGCATGCACATAAAGTTTGGTTTGTATCCATTTTCTATGCTGCCAAGATCATGCAGTACCCATCTTTTTCAATCTGAGATACTTACGGGGTTTTCAGTGAGATGCCCATTCTCGTGCATTTTATTCCTTCCCAGATATATCAAGATTGAAGAGAAAAAAATGGGAATTCAACAAGAATTTCCATCTCATCCTTCACACTAAGCTGGCTAACACTCACTACAAGCGAGAACTGCAGGCTCAGGCCACCCTCATTAATTTCTCTGTCACTGAGGACAGGCTGGAAGACCAGCTGTTGGCTGAGGTTGTTAGTCCTGAAAGGCAGGACTTAGAAAAACATAAGGTAAAGGCTATCTTTTGGTTTGTCTGTTGCCTGTTCCCAGATTTTAAGGCTATAATTAATATGCCTGTTTGAATTGGCTGTACAGTAATTGTTAGTACCCCATATATCAGAAAAATTTAAGGGTCAGATTCTGCAAAGTGTAGAAAGTACTTCTACTGATTTGCTCAAATCTACGCTCCCACAGGGTTCATCTTGACCTAAAGCTCTCCTAGAAATTAAAATTTATTGTGATATTATTCCCACACTTCTCTCTACTGCTTGGTTTGCTCTGTACGTTGCATTTAATTTACAATGCGGGATTAAAACCCTCTGCAGTGCTTTCTGCTTCAGTGATCTTAAGCCAATAAATGTAAATAAAATTTCATGCCAGTCCATAAGAGGATATGATGGCACTGTTAGGAGCTGGGATATTTGGTTAATAGATCACAATTTATCCCTGCAAGAATGCAGTTCTGTGGCTGCTGCAGTCGTACCAATGTATAGTAACCTATGAGGAGAAATACTTTTATAGGTGGTTATAGAAAGGACTTTGGGCAGATTGTCATCTATGAGATAAAAAAAGAAATAAAAAATACTTAGGGCTGTGAAATTGATAACAAGAATACTTCCTATTTCTCTACTGTGTCTTTCCAGTTATCTCATGTAATTTACTAACTTCATCTGCAAAGATTTGTTACACCTGTTTGAGGTACTGTTGCTTCATGCAAGGGCAAACTCAGAGAGTTTAATTACCTCTAGAAGAATGAAAGCCATATACTTGGGAACACAATCTGAAAACAGCTGTCCATTTTCCTCTGCATCTGCACGTTGTTCTAGCTGGGACTGTATGCTTACAACACCTGTATCACCTTGGATTTTTGGTGTGAGGGTCAGAGTCTGATTGAGAGCTCCCCATAAGACTAGTCAAGCTCTTTCACTGTCAGAAGGTCAATCCAGCAGAAAAGTTTTCCCACTATGTTTGCTGCCAAAGTGAGGTTCTCCAGCCTTGTGCTATTCTATGGTTTCCTCAGCTGCCACATAGATTACCACTTGCCATCTCTTGGCAAGATCCCAGTCCTTTTGTGCAGTCTCAGGAGGAAGGACCCTAGCAGAGAGATAAAGTTCTGGTCCATGACAACCTTGTCCTTCTCTCTATAGGTGTCCAGAACCTTAGATCTAGTATACTGGGACAGAAGATAAACTGTCTCTTTCAAAAATTAAATTAAATCATCTGATGAAATTAAAGTGAAAATATAGCTCACAAATGCTATGAAACTATTTCTTGCTGTGGTTGTTTAAATACAGTGTTTTCATTCCCTCTGCTAATCAGAGGCCTGGCCAAGCAGCAGAATGGTTTCACGAATGAGCTCCAGCAGCTGGAGGATGACATGCTGCTCAGGCTGTCAGCTGCCTGAGGCAATCTCTTAGATGACAGTGCACTTGTAAAGAAAATCAAATAACGAAGTCAACTTCAGCAGAAATACAACACAAGGTAATAACAACGGAACTATTTTTTAACAGCTTAAGGTCACTGTAAAATATGTATTATTAATCATTTTTGGTGTAACATTTTTATGAGCTAGAATAAGGAATAGTCGAATTCCTGTTTATCCAGAAAGGACTGTCCTCCCACATATTCATGGTTTCATATGTATTGTATGTAGTTGTCACATATTTGAGGTTTTTAGGTGCTTGAATTACTAATCATAAAATTAATAAATAGCATGAAATTTGAACAAATGTATTAGTATATGATTGCCATGTTTTCAGAGGTAAACAGGCGTATTGCAGAGAATAGTCATTCCCTAATATTTGTCTAAGATAAGAAGCTTGGTTACCTGAAGTATTTACTGCTGTCTGAAATAAAGTCAGTTTTCTAGAGTATATCCATACTCTTTCCTGTATGGATAGGAATGTTATGGTAATTGTGTGGGATAATTATGGCACACCAGAAAATAAATGAGACAACAGTCATCCTATAAATAGCTGAAGCCAAAGAAAATGAAGCTCAGATTAACATGACAAGGGAGCACTACAGACCAATAGCCGTAAGAGCATCCATTCCTTACTTTGTCTGTATCAGCCCAGGTAGCATCAACCCCATCTACCAGTTTTGCATAATTGGTTTCAAATTTATTTCATGCAAGGAACAAAATTTATTTCATGCAAGGAACAAAATTCTGTGTCCAGCAGTGACGCCTGATATGTTAGTTACTACTTGTACCAGATGTTTACATTTTCAGGGCTGTGTGTTTGAGGAAAGACCACAATGTGGTCTCCAGCTGGTCCATAACACGGTACATTCCCACAGGTCTCTTTGTTGGCTGTTCCCATTCTGACAGTGTTTTCTGATTGGGCTTGCAAGGTTCACCTTCCCTGGTGTTAAGCCATCCCACAGAGTCAGGAACGAAGAGTTTGGAGAAATTCTGTATAAACAAATCACTGCAGTAAATCTACCAAATGATCTAATGCTGTGAGTAAGGGAGATCACCCACTACAAAATTACCAGCTTGCTTAAGTGAGAGATTTTGTTTGCTGAGTTAAATAAGGAAGCAGAAGAGTATTGCTGTTTGCAACCCTCACCCCTGGTTTGCTGAAAGTTTCCTCAAAAGCCTCTTGGCAGAAGTGCCTTGCATTTTAGACTTCTCAGGTCACCTCTTCTTAGAAGTCTACTGTAAGAAACCAATTATCTTATGAGTAGAAAATCAAAATTCAAATAAATAAAAATAATTGTATTAACTTTCAGGCCTTCAATGTGTTTTCCACAAAGCAATTAAATAGGCTGAAATATCAGGGGATATTCAATGTTGTATCTCTAACCTGAGAAAAGTTGTCACATATTCAACCTTTCTTTTCACAAGCCAAGGACTTTTTGAAAAAGATAACCTCATTTTTCTGGCCCAAACAGTTTTTCAGATGAGGAAAAATCTCTGATTGGTGGTGCTGACATTTATTTGGTTTGCAGTTTCTTCACTATAAAGTGATGCCTCTGTGCTCAAACCCTACGGCTGTGCAGTTTCTGGCACAAGATGACTGCTGCTTCAGTATCAATAATTGCAGAAATTCCAAAGATGCTTTCATGTAATTCTTTTCATTTAAAATGCTGCAATGATTTCATGAAGCTATTTTGAGGATAAATACCATGACTTAGCTGCTTATGTTTGGATAATTAGGGTTGATCTGGTATGTAAAGTAAGAAGTAAATAATACATATCCATATCACATTCAGGCTGTTATTTTTCCTTTTAATTTTAGTATCTGTATGCCCTGGGAAAAATCAGGGTTCAGTTGTACTGGAAGGCTCTGAGGCAAGTCTGACGACTTTTTTAAATTTTGTGTGCTGTCAAGATTCTTCTAAGAAGTAAAGAGATAGAATTTGTTGAATTGGATTTCCTTCTTCGATTCAGAATTGAACACATGTGAGTCCTGTTGACTTCCTAAGTACTCAGTGATGGAGTGTCATTAGAGTAGTTTGGGAAAATTGCTTTTCAGTTCTTTTTGGTGTTATTTCTGGACACATGCCTCAACTAGACAATTTCAAATAAAGTCATACATTCTACTGGGTTTTTTTTTTAGTAAAACTAGTGATGCTTTCAAAAAGGAGTTTTCTTTGCTATTTGGGTGCATTTTTCCTTAGACGTCTCATACTGTACTTTGTGAGGAAATTCTATTTTGCCATAATTTTCCAGCCCCTAAAAATACAATTTTATTTCTTGCCACTCCTTACTGTAGTAAATGTCCCATACAGGGTTTCCAGTTTATTGTATCTTGATGTTTAACAGTAAGCAGACAGTATGGCAATACCAACCACAGTAAACTTTTATAAATAATATTATTTTTATGTATCTGTGCTTGTGGGTATAGATATGTAATTTAGTAGTTTAAGGCAAGTCCTGAGTCCCTTATAATTGGTTAAACTAGGGTTTTTACATACCTCAAAAAGTATCAGTGTCATCCTTTTTCAGTCATCATGCAGAAAGTACATCATCTGTATTTATGTCTTTGGCATACTTCCAGGCTATGGCAGTGATGGATGTGTTCAGTGGGGTAGATAAAGATATTGAAAGATCCACCAAGAAATGGAAGAAGTGAGTGGACTCAGAATGTCCAGAAAAGGAAAAGTTCCCCCAGGAATAGACAAAAAAAAAAAAACAAACCTCTTTTGAGAAACAAATAATGCTGTCCATTAGGACAGAATGACATACACTCTGAGGTATGAAATCTGAGGGTACATCTTTCAGGGTAAGTGTGTGTAAGGGTGGTGGCTTGTCTGACAAAACTCAGATCTTAAGAGGAAAGAAAACTGGGTGGTCAAACAGAATTTGAGATCGATGACTGTGGTCCTTCCTAGCCTGGTCTGCTGGTGCAGAGTTTGTGAAGAGGTAGTGTGTTGAGACATGAGTCACAGCATATTTGGAGATTTGTGATTTCTTTTAGTTTGCATAGAGGTACCAGGGGAGAGTACTTACTCATAAATAGACATGCAGTAAGCTATCCTGTTAATATCTAGAACTGTATTTCTCAGTGTTAGTTTTCATTATGGTATTAGGGCTGTATTAGGTGGGTAACTCCACAGGATGATGATTTTTCAGCTCTCCCTTTTGAAAATTCTGTGATACAAAGAAAGATTCAGCTGTGGATACTGACCAATCTCCTCCCAGTTGTTTTCCAGTTGTACTGTTTTAATTTTTGATCCCAAGTGATGGTCTTACAAAACTATTCCTCCACATCACACCATCACAGTTTTTTCCCCTTTTTATATGACTTCTGAGAATGCAATTTTTGTCCTGGGTGCTTATTTTGCCCAACTGCCCTGGCTTTATGTGCCACTATTGCCTGCATATAATGACTTCATCGATTCAGTTATTGAAGAGGCCTTTTTCATTCAGAAGTTGCTGTTTTCTGTCATGTGGTCCCTATCCCACAGGGAAATGGGAATGACTGTCTTCCCTCTTGCTTCATCACCTGCTTCCCTTCCTGCCTTCTCATGATTTCTCTGATGAAATGACCATCACTGTCAGATGCTCAAGTCTGCAATGGTGCAGACTTGAAGCATTTATCAAGGAACATTTTTTATCAAGGAACATCAAAGAACATGTTTAGTGGATGTTTTGTCATATGCATAGGAACTTTGTGGAAGAAAAGCTTGGCTGAAGCTATGTGGAAAGCGCAAGGATGGATTTAGCAAAATGCTAAGTGAGCAGTCCAGCTCAACCAGTCCTGTGTTTTTCATTCTGGCTTCCAGAGTAGACCCACTTGAAGATACTGAGACATTAGGTAAGCCTCTTACTTGCTTCACTCGCAACAGAAGCAACTTGCAACTGTCCTCCCAACAAAGAAAGGAAAATTGAGCTCAAAAGTGAAATGGAGCATGCAGGGCTAGAAATGAAGAAAAATCTATATATGGTTATATGCTTGTGTGTATGTTCTCATACACACAAGCATGTAGGGGTGTATTTTTTTTTCTACTAAACAGAACAAAGCCTTCTGGAGTCATCTGTCACTACAATGGAGTATGCACTACTATGGGAAAGTTGAGCGCAGTTTATTTTTGGCAGCAGATTCAAGTTCTAAAGTTTCTTCCACCCCCACCAGATGCATGGCAATGGGGTGGATGAAAAGTGTAAGGCCATAACCACTACAGTATGAAGAAATTTCTCGATTGAGCATTCCTCTGCTTGGCATAATGCAGGTTTCCTTTGTACTGTTTTCTACCTTTTGACTAGATGAGGGCCAGAGGGCAATTTTCTCCATGCTCATGTAATCTTGTGCCCCCTGTGACTAAATAATGGTCATTATACAAACTATATTCAATTGTATAGGGCTCTGTGGCTCTATACTTAGGATTACTATTCCCCACAGACAATAGTGAGAATACCAGGTTAATACATCTGTGACCTCACTGTGCTCAATTTAAGCTCAGGCCTCACAAGGTGAGAGGCTTGTGCATTTACCCACTGAACCAATCAGTTAAAAAACTGATGTGATATCTACCACATGTTGCTCCTTTTTTCATAAGGGAATTGCTCTGTACCCCCTGTAAGAGTTTCTAAAGCTCAGTAACAATGCCCAGCATCTATCAAAATGTCAAAAGGTTCATTATCTTAAAACCAAGGGAACAGATTTCTGCAGGCTTTTTCTAATACCAGCAATAAGGCCACTGTTGAGAGCTCGCAATTTTGCTTGTTGAAATTGTAAGGGTTTAGTGAAGTGCTTCAGAGGAAGTAATATGCATTGCACAAGTGATAGTGAAATTAATGGGGGCATTATCATTCTTTTTCCTTTCTGCTCTGCTAATTTTCCTATCTCCTCCCCCTCTGTCACTCACCCTTCCCCAATTATTTCTATTGCAGGCAAAAAGGTTGGGTTCATTATAGACTGTAGACTCTAGAAGATTTTATAACATCTCTTTCGGACAAAGGCAGGAGATGGTTGCAAATGAGGCACTCAAGAAGGCTGCCTGCCATGGCCATGGGGTTCTTTCCCAAGTGAGTGTCAAACAGTCCCTCTGACAAGGGAATGCCTCCTCAGCTGGAGGGATATTTCCAGAACACAAAATATGCAATGGATTACAGCAAAAGTTTTAAACAGCTAATAATCTTGTTCCATTTGCTTTTGCTTTTGGTTGTAACAGGATAAACATCATATTATTAGGCTGTGTGTCATGTTTTGCTGAACAGCATCACCATCCCGGGAGGAATGGCAGAGATAAAGCAGAAGGCCCCTGGTGGGTAGCTAGAATTGCCCTCAGGCACACACTTCCCCCCTAATTAAGAGCTCCTGTTCCATTCAGTGGGCCATAATGGAGACTTTAATGAAATGGGTCTGACTGCCCCTGGGGAAGCTGTATAATTAGCCCTGGAGTGCTGCTTTTCAGAGATAGCAGCCCTGGCTTTGGCCAGTGTTGTATGGACCAAGAACCCACTCTGCAGCGGACAAAGAGATCCGTGCAATCCCTTGGCGAGCAATGGTTTCCCAACACAGTAAAAGAGCAAACAGGAGCACTGCAACTGTAAATGCTACTGAAAAAAAGATGCTGCCTTCAAACGTTTTGTGCCAAACAGGCAAGGTATATGTGTGACAACCCCTCTGCCCTCAAGCCAAACAACAAATGCATGTTCCAGGCCTTGATATTAAAGTGGTCATGAGAATGGACTGATTCCCTCCTCTTCTGGTTTTAACCTCAGCATCCTGGCTTGTCTGTCAACCAAGTTGCCTGCAACAAATGAAGAGATGAACTAGACTCAGTGTTGTCTGCTAGATGAAATCTCCATGGGATTAGTGAGGGGCCACTGTGGGAGCATGCACAAACTGCCCCCTTTAGCATCAGTGAAACCAGAACTCTTTAACCAGATTTCACATGAGTAAGCTAATCATGCTAGTCTAAAAATAACTGTATTTTACTGCTAGTGAGCATAGTAATGTTGTTGTGAAGAGAAGAGCCAAGTTGGTTTTCAGGGGAGTTTCAGAGTTCTCAACCACTCTGGGGACAGGATGAGAAAATGGGAGAATTGTAGAAGCAGTGTTGTGTGTCTGAAGCCACAGGAATTAACAGGGAACATCTGAGAAGCTTCTGATGTTACAGACCTGCTCCATTTTCCAGCCCATTATTCCTGGCTTCTGAGGGAGGAGAGGGGCAAGGATTTTGCTGTAAAGATTTTTGATAGTGAAGGATTGGGGAAAGTCTGAAAGGACATTCCATAAAGATGTTGGACCGAATCTCAAATGGTGCTAATCTAGCTAGAGCTGGATGTACTCAGTGCTTCTCAATCTTTAGTCTTCTGGGGTTTAGCCCAGAAACCCTGTAAGTTTATGTTTCAAAAAAAATCCTGGACCAAAAGATGACATATTTTACTATGGATTTTATTGTAGACTAGGGAGTGTATAATTAGATATCAAAAAAAAAAAAAACAAAAAACCAAAACAACAACAACAAAAAAAAAACCAAAGAAAACTCAAAAAAACCCAAAACCCAACAACAATAACAAAACCTAAACCGAACAAAAAACCCAAACCAATCTGCTATTCTGACTGATCTGGGAAATACTTTAAAAATTACTTCAGGTCTTGCAAAAGCAGTTGGCACAGTGATTGGTAAACTAGCAGAATAGAGACTGACTTAAATTTTTTTGGTATTGGATTTAACTCTTCTGTCAGTCTTAATTTCTCAAATTCAGACACCTAATGTATTGAATGTTTATTTTGTTGTTATATCAAGGCTCCTGGTTTTATTCAGGGTAGAAACTTGTGTTGCATTTTTCATGGTTAAACTCAACATTCTGACTTAAGAAGGTTTTTTTGTCAGACATAAAATCCTTCACCTTTCCCCAGACTCTGCTACCTGTTGTTTAGTTCAGTTGTTTATTTCCTTTTGAAAGCCAAGAGTTTATCCTTCTGAAGTTTCTTCCACACATCTGTGTTTCACGGGTATCAAAAGTAATTTTATGTCCATTGCTTCTTAAAGTAAAAGACAGAATATATGTCAGAGAATTAAGGATTATTTTCTGCAGTTTTTATAGGCAATGCCAAATATTTTAAAAACCAGCTGAAGCCCTGTGCTGAATCTTATCTTGCCAAAATTCTCTACTAACACTACAAGCAATGGAGGCAAAAAAAATATATTCAATTTCAAACATGATTTTTGGGAAACTAAAATTTGAAGGACTTTGAAGGCTTTTTTAGTAAGTGTTAAACTGGTACATCTTCTGCTTGGGATAAAGTCTATGGATGATTTATGCTAAGAAACTGTAGTGGTTGTCTGAGTATTATTTATAGAGTTCTAGTTAAAGACTCTATTTTTGTTGGTTTCAGTAGCACAACAGTTCTTTCCTAGGGGATATTTGGAAATAAAAATGTCACTATCAACACTTGTGCATCTGGAAATTACTGCAAAAAATACTGCCCAATCTGTGGCATATACTGATCATTAAGAAACCTGTTTCTTACTCTCCTTCCAACCCCAGGCTTGTGAGTGCTCCCTTTCAGCTGCTGAGGCAGGCACAGCTGTCGATAACACTGCCAGTTGTTACTGCATGTTATTCCTTTTTTCTTTGACAGGATACCCTTGAGCTGTGTACCAGAGAACGGAAATTTAAAAGCATCCTTTATCTTCTGTGCAATTTTCACAGTTGCGTTGTTGGGAGACTGAAGTTTGGCCCTCAGGGCTGGAACGGAGGGCAGCGGTTCAGCACCAGAGATCTCTACATCTGTGTCACTGTCCTCTGCAACTATCTGGAGGCCCATGTGAAGGTAAGAAGTAGTGGTCAGGTAACCACACGCCAAGGTCATTTCAACTCAATCAGCTGTTTATACTGAATAAGGGGGACACAATCCTTTCTCTGGAACTGTTATTTATATGATGCTCTTGTTGAGTATGAAAATAAACCAGATCAAAGGGAGTGAGGGGCTGTGGGATTTTTTTCTGGCAGTGAATGCTTGAACTTTGTAATATAGGTCAAACCAGTTCCACATCAGTAGCTAAAGGGGAAAAAAATGCCCTTCATTATGTTAACAAAAACAGGGGTTTACATGTGCATATATGCCAAATTCATTAGGCAGGTAATGAAGCATTTGCACAAATGTAATTACAAACAGCAATTCTGACAGTTCATAACACTGCATTAATAATCACTACAATTAGTTTTGATGATGGAAGCAATTTACAGCACGTCACATATATAAATAATGGTGCATTTCCTGAATGTGTCATTATTATGTATTAAGGATGCCACCTTGTTGTGACTTTCTCAGTAATGTTCCCCTTGAGTCAAAGTTAAGGGTAGATGAGTGATTTTATTTCTGAGCTACAGCATATTTCAGACTTGTATAGTGTAAATACCGAGTTGAGGTCACTTGTCTAAATTCTGTATGTGAAAATGTGAAATGCCTAAATAAAAGCAGTAATTATTTATTAATGAATGTTATAGGATATTACTAAATAGATCCTCCAATTTTAATAACTTAAAGAAATTTCAGAGATAATCATAAAGAAAAAAGATAAGTGTAACCCCTTGATTATATGGTTTTCTCCTTATCTTCCAACTTGTATTTGCTCTTACAAATTGATTTTCTTTTTGTCTTCATACCCCTACTTTATTTAGCTAATAGGACATCAAAGTGGTTTTCCTTTTTGTAGTACTTGGTGTCATAATAGTGAAATAATTGGTTAATTTTATAGTGATGATTTAATAATGTTTCCCATTTAGAAAACAAGTCTATAAAATCAGCTTATTCCAACCCTTAGTTTTCTTTGCTAATAAGTCTTGCTGCTTTAAGCTCTGTTCTTTTCAAACCACAATTCATAAACTGGATAATTAATTTTGCTAATTAATGAGATTCTGATCTCAGAGAG